AAGAGATTTCAGAAAGAGGGTGCAGATGAATGAAGAAGTAAGCGTCATTGCGATTCAGGGGTGCAATTAAAGTTTTATCTTGGAGATTATGTGATGATTTCAGGCTTCCCTTGGGCTGGTTTATGACTCCCTCAGGAGTCCTTGGCATAGCATCCTTTCTTCCATCATAGTTTTCATGCAGTTTAGGGCAAATTGGACCCCAGAGCAAAGGCAAGAAGAATGTTTTGAAAGGCGATGATGAGATATCTGTGTGGAATTCAAAATAACTTCTTTTTGTTCTCAGGAAAAGTTATAAAAACCTCATTTCTAGAAAATCAGTTGTAATGTCCTCACTTTATTTCTAACTTGTGTTGAGTCTTCTTTTTTTCTTATTCTAGCTGAAGTCTTGTCTGCTTAGTTTATCTTTTTGAATAGCAAACTTTTGGTTTTGTTCATTTTCTCTACTGTTTTATATTTTCTACTTCATTTATCCCTGCTGTAATTTTCATTATTTCCTACCATTTGCTAGCTTTGAATTTAGTTTGCTCTTCTTTTTCTAGTTTCTTATGGTATAAAGTTAGGTTTTTGAGTGGAGATTTTTCTTCTTTTATAATGTAAGCCTTTATAGCTATAAATTTCTCTCTTAGCACTGTTTTCTTTTCATCTTGTAAATTTCGGTATGTTGTGTTTTCATTTTTATTTGTCTCAAGATACTTTATAATTTCCCTTGTGACTTCTTCTCTGACTCATCGCTTGGTTTACAGTGTGTTGCTGAACATCCACATATTTGTGAAGATTTTAGTTTTCTTTTGCTGTTGATTTACAGTTTTATTCCATTGTGATTTGAGAAAGATAGGTACGATTTTAATCTTTCAAAATGATTAAGGCTGTTTTGTAACTTAACATATGGTCTAGGCTGGAGGATTAAAATATTTTACTTAAAAATTTTGAGTTGTGTCTATTCATAAAATGAAATAAGGAAAGAGGATGGCAGAGTCTTTAGAAAGCCTACAGCCTGGGCAACATAGAGAGACCCAATTTCTTTAAAAAAAAAAAAATTAACTGGGCATGGTGACATGTGCCCGTGGTCCCAGCTACTTGAGAGGCTAAGATGGTAGATCAAAGCAACTCAACATTCCATTACTAGAATCTATATTTACTTAACATTTTAAATAATATCTCTCTTTGGTATTCAATTTATTTTATCACTATTATTATTGTTATTTTTTGAGATGAAGTTTCACTCTTGTCGCCCAGGCTGGAGCGCAGTGGCACGCTCTTGGCTCACTGGAACCTCCACTTCCTGGGTTCAAGCGATTCTCCTGCCTCAGCCTCCCAAGTAGCTGGGATTACAGGCATATACCGCCATGCCCGGCTACTTTTTTTTTGTATTTTTAGTAGAGACGGGGTTTCACCATGTTGGCCAGGGTAGGCACAAACTCCTGATCTTGGGTGATCCACCACCTCGGCCTCCCAAAGTGCTGGGATTATAGGCATGAGCCACCACGCCCAGCCTATGTTATATTTTATAGTCATACTTGCTTTGTCTCTGGGACCTTAGCAGTAACCACTAGTGTGGTTGATTATATGATAGTGTAAGATAATTTCTAGAAGCACTTCTATTCTGTAACCTGAGGTGCACTTGCAAAGAGACAATGCCTATGCTGTGCTTACAGCCTCTTTCACACAAGTTCCATACTTACACATATGCAGCTTCCCGTGAGCTTCCATGGTAATTAGGCCGTCCCCTCTCAGTGAACTTTTGCTACTTAACAAAAAGAAAACCTTCCAATTTTCTCTATCACAAGACTGTGAATCCTATGAGGGAAGAAAATGTGTCTTATATACCTTTGTCTCAATTTTATTTTCTGGCTCAATGTTTGGTACATTGTAGGTGCTGAACAAGGGCAATAAAAATCAATAATTGAAAAATAAGGGAGATGATGTCTAAATATAAAACTGTGATAAACTCGTTAAAGTTTTATAACAGTATATTTGTACAAGCCCTAAGATAAGGAAGATGTTATCTCAGGTTTTTTCTAAAGTACAAAACTGTCCGAGTGAGATGATGTTAAGGGGCTCTGAAGACCCCGCTTCAACATTTCTGTCAATAAACAGGCTCCTAAGGAAACCTAGCATTGTGGGAAAAATGATTTTCCAAATCTAATGATCAGAAAGTTCCCCTAGAAAATTGTTCTTTGTTGGCCGGGCGCAGTGGCTCAGGCCTGTAACCCCAGCACTTTGGGAAGCCGAGGTGGGTGGATCACCTGAGGTCAGAAGTTCGAGACCAACCTGGCCAACCTGGTGAAACCCCGTCTCTACTAAAAATACCAAAAATTAGCTGGGCATAGTGGCGGGTGCCTGTAATCCCAGCTACTCAGGAGGCTGAGATAGGAGACTCGTTTGAACACAGGAGGCGGAGGTTGCAGTGAGCCGAGATGGTGCCATTGCACTCCAGCCTGGGCAACAAGAGCGAAACTCTGTCTCAAAAACAAAAAAAGAATTGTTCTTTGTTTAACTAAAGAACTTACTCATATAACCAAACACCACCTGTTCCCCAATGACCTATGGAAATAAAAAAATTTGACAAAATATGTTTTATTATTTATTTTTGCAATAAATAATACAGGCACATGATAAAGAATTTGAAAGCACAAAAGGAGTTATGAAAAAAAAGTCTCCTTTACTCTCTTGTTCCTTAGACACCAAATTCTTCCCGCCTGAAACAACCGTTGTTATCAGTTTCTTGGAGCTCTTTCAGGAAATATACACATTTCCCTGGAAGGCAACTACAATATGCTCTGCTACTCACTTTGCTTTTTTATTTAACAGTATGTCTTGGACATATATATCATTGCATATGGAACTGCTTCATAGTTTATAAATTGAAGACATAATATTCCATGGTATAACTCACCATAGCTCATTTTACTAGTCTTCTATTAATAGGAACTGATGTTTTTCTCAATATTTTGCTATTACAACAATGCTGCAGTAAACATTTCCCACGTGTGTAAAAATATCTCTAGGCTAAACATCTTAAAAGTTGGGTTGCTGTTTTAATGGGTATATGCCTTCTAAATTTTGATAGAGGTTGCCTTATCACCCTATATAGTGTTTGTAAAACTTATATGCCCACCAGCTAAGTGTGAGAGAACCCATTTCACAATCCTCAGACTTAAACTGTGTTATCAAACTTTTTGATCTTTGTCAATTTAATAGATAAAATGTGAGATATGTTTATAGGCTTATTCTACTTTTACCTTTTTATGAATTAGTTAGTGCCCTTTCTATGTTTAAGAATCTTTTTCTGGATGTTATTCATTTATATACTTTTGCTCATTTTCTTACTGGGATACTGTTCTGTTCTCTTACTATTTTACAGAGTTTCATTTATATTAAGGAAATAAACTTATTGTGATATGACTGGCAAATAAGGGAGAAGTCCTAAAGGGAAATTCAGGGTTACTTTTCAAAGAAAAGGGAACTTGGGCTAGTTAAAAGGGTGGTGAATAGGAACTTTTCTTTTTTTTTTGAATTGTTAAAGTCATTATCCTCAGCAAATTGCTCCCTGATTCCCAATTCCTATTTATTTAACCTGAAAAACAGGTATTTGGGTTAGTGAAGACACTTCAGTCACAGCATGACCTTTCACTCCAGGCCTAGGGGAAAGTTCAAGGAGAACTAGCCCAAGCTTCTAATACAAATTCTGGGTAATTATTTTCCTGACCTACAATTGCTGGATGCCTTCCATTAAAAGAAGGCCTAAATCTGTGGTCCCGGTTTTATCATTTATTTTACCATAGGTAACCTTTCCCCTGCTTCTTGCAGGGGAAGAGTCCTCAGGGATTGTTTGCTGGTTGCAATGAAAAGAAAAGCAGGTGTGCATCCCAGATTTGTGTTTATGCCAGCCTCTATATCCACCTGTCCCTCTGATTTGCGGGCTTTTGAACACACATGCTACATGATCATCTTCTGAAAGTGAAGGAAGAAGTAAGAATGTATGGAATCTAGATAGAGTAGAAAAAACTTTCTGGTCATGACTGAAAAACTTGTACTAAACCCAAAGTAATTTCTATCAAAAGTAAAATCTGAACAAAATACATAAAACAACCATTTGAAGGCATTTGGAGCAATTGGCATAGGCAAGCCTTCATGGGCTACAGTCCAAGATGAAGGGAAGAAAAGGGAGGTGAGTTTCACATTCACCACGTGTTTTTCCCTGAGGATATTTGACCATTTACTGGGTTGGGAGAGTATGAAGAAAGGAGGAATAAAGCCTGAGCAGAAAGCAGTAGTTTCACTGAACTGAGAAGGTAGAGAATTTGGTGTTTTCAGTTGCCAAAGCTGCTAGTGTTTGCGAAACAATTCCTGGAGAGGGGAGGACCACAGAAGCTAGGCTAGAAATACGATGCAATTCCCCTTCAAGGCATTTTTGGATTTCTAAGCTGTGTGTACGTGGTGAGACCTCAAAATAGCTAGCAGAAACTAAAGTGGGGCGTCTAAAGAGCAAAGCAGAAGTTTCAGGAGTCATGGGGTTCAAGAAGCACTGAAATAGGAGGCTAGGATCAGCTGAAGTGGAGGGGCCTTCTAAACAGTCCAGATTTGCCCTGAGGTCTCAGAAAGGTTATGTTCCTGCACTAAAAGCCATACCATAGGAGTAAAACTAAAACAAGCACAAACCATTTTAAGAACACATACAAGTAGCGCTTGAATAGAATCAATGTGATCTGCCTCTCCTCCATCTACTTGCTAGAACAAAACTTAACCTTCATTACTGCACATATTGTCTTTATAGTTTTTTAAAAAAATGCCCACCAGTCAATTAAAAAACACTGAGGCATGCTACACAACTGGGCAAATAATCATGATCTGAAAGGAGAAATAACAGAAACATGCTCACAGGTGTTTTAGCTTTGGCCAATAGTAAGATGAACAATTAACTGTATAAGACCAGTTTTTTTTAGTCCCCCCAAATTAAAGACAAGATTAATTATGCAAGGATCTTTTTGATTAACATTTTATGTTCCCCATAATTTCTTCAGAGATTTTTTCATATCTTTGTTCCTAAGACTATATATCACAGGGTTAAGGAGTGGGGTAACAACAGAATAAAACAGAGTCACAATCTTCTGCTTTCCAGCTTCATTTTTAGATGGTGGGCTCCCATACATGACTATTACTGAGCCGTAGAACAGTGAAACCACAGTCAGGTGAGACCCACAGGTGGAGAAAGCCTTTCTTCTCCCAGCTGCTGAAGGGACTGTCAACACAGCTCTCACAACCAGAGCATAGGACCCCACGATGAACAGAAAGAGCACAAAGACAGGCAGAGGACATAAGGCAGAAAAGATAAGTTCTATCACAGGGTCTTTTTTGCAAGTGAGTGTTAGAAGAGGAGCTGGGTCACATAGGAAGTGGTTAATAATCCTAGGTCCACAGAAGGACATTTGGGAGATGATGACAATAGGAATCAAGAACCAGATGAAACCAAGTACCCAGCAATTGATCACAAGATTGGTGCAGAGACGTCTGGTCATAATGGTTGGATAGTGTAGAGGCCGGCAGATGGCAAGGTATCGATCAAATGCCATAACTGCCAGGAAAAAGCATTCTGTAGAACCCAAGGAGAAGAAAAAGTAGAACTGGAGGAAGCACCCAGAGAAGGAGATGACCTTGGTGTCAGAGAGGAAGTTGGCCAGCATGTGGGGGACTGTGGAGGTGACATACCAGATCTCCAGGAAGGAGAAGTTGGCGAGCAGGATGTACATGGGGATGTGGAGTCTCTGATCCCAGTGCACAGCACAGATGATGGAACCATTGCCCGTGAGGGTCAGGAGGTATACAACAGTGAAGAGCACAAAGAGGAGGATCTGTCCCTCCCTGGGGCAAGGGAAGCCCAGGAGGATGAAGCCAGTGAAGGTGCTGGAGTTGCTGGGGGTGTCGAAGATTTTCATGTGTCCGTGAATTGTAAAAGCACCAGCAATTACTGGATGACAGTGCAAACATAGATGGGGAAATAGGTTTATATTTAAATCATTTTGGGAAAGAAATGCATATTATGAGCTATTGAAATAAAAAAAAAAAAGAATGCAGATATGTCAATAGTCACTTTTTTTCTTTTAAACTGACATATTGATCTGGATTGATTCTTTGCTCGCATTCACATTTTTACCATAGGCTCAAGAAAACTTTTGACCAATATTGATAAGCTGTCATATATATTTTTATCAGGTGTAAAGCCTTTGTCGTTTTCACATTTACAACAATCCCCTTCAAGAGCCTTTGTATAAATATATAACAGAATACGTATTTATGTATATTCTTACAGAAATGGAATTTCATTTTCAGAAGGTGAAATCATTGCAGCTTTTTGTGGCAGAGACTGAGTGAAACTGTGTAGCCATGCAATATGGGCCTATAAAACTGAATTATTTCTTTTATATAACTTTTGACACTGGTCTTATTCTAAATTAAATGGCTAACTTATTAACGTTATGATATTATTCACTTGTTTCATGAGTAACACAGTCAAATCAGTTAGAGGAAATTAGCTGTTGTTAGTTTCTTTTTTGTTAGGACAGCAGTCCCAGCCATCCTCAGTAGACCAGGCTGAAAGAATTATTAACTGGCCATGCTGAAACATGTCTGTGCTTGCCTTGAAGAATATACAAATTTGCCTAGACTATAAAGATATAATTAATTCGATTCCAATAATACAAATTATGGATATAATTGATAACATGGAATTCTAAATAACAGTTCATTTGTAGCTGATATTAGACTAAAGCTTTGGTCCATCTCCCAGTAACCACTTAGGAACATCTCAAGGGAGAGTGGCTTTTGAAGGCTGAATATCTGCGTGATGCCTTTAATTTGTTTTAAATGAATTAGAATATCTTTGTTAAACATTAATGTACTCAGGCCTTGGAAATAGTTAGAGCCCTTTCTAAATAAGTGCATAAATGAGCATACTAAAGAAAGTCTGTGTCCCTCTTTCTATGTTAGATCCACATTTTACTTTTTGAAGTTGGCACAGGGACCCGGGAAATTTTAAGGTAGCAGAATCTGCTGCCCCCAAATATGCCACTTTGGCGTAAGATTATTTTCAGCTGAGGGTAATTGAGAAAAAAGCAGATACAAGAAAACTTCTCTATTATTTGTATAGAGGCAGGACATAACGTTGCAAGGGTGGCCTTCCTCCCCTCGCTACCAGGAAGGACAAGGTAAAGTTACCAGAGACAACTCTAAACCCTTTCAGTCTGGAGATGGCACCAGAGGAATCTATATAACAATTTTACCAACTTTAGCCTGTATCTTTCATTAGTTTGCCCATAATATTTATTTTCCCCAGTTTCCCACCCTAGAAATGCAGAGTTCTGTTTCTTTGTCTTGTCACTTCCCTAAAAAATTATTATTCTTTAGTTGAGATGCTATGTAAGCCTAATGTCTAATCACACCTTTGAGTTACTCATCTCCCAGCGCTCCAGTGTGTATTTAAGATGCATGTGCTCATAAACTTATGTTTGTTTTTCTCTTGTTGATTTGTGTTTTGTCAGTCTTACTTAAAAGGCCCCAGCTGAAGAACCTAGAAGGATAGGAGAAAAGTTTTTTTTCCTCCCCTGCAGAGTCTACTAATTTCTTACTAGAATATTTAAGTTCTGTAAAACTTACAAGACCAAAACCAAAAGATGTTGGCAGCAAGTTGATATCCTTCTCAATCATAGATGTGGGTACTCAGAGGTTTATGTTGGAAGAATACAATTTCATTGTTGGTGGTATGAACTAAGGGAGTAATTTTAACACAATCCATAATGATTGCTTGATTTGTTTATTTATTTTTTGAGAGGAAGTCTTGCGCTGTTACCCAGTCTAGATTGCAGTGGCATGATCTTGGCTCAACCTTTCACTCCAGGGTTCAAGTGCCTCAGCCTCCTTAGTAGCTGGGATTACAGGGGCACACCACCATGTCTGGCTAATTTTTGTATTTTTAGTAGAGACAGGCTTCACGCCATGTTGGCCAGGCTGGTCTCAAACTCCCGACCTCAAGTGATCTGCCCCACCTGGGCTTCCCAAAGGGTTGGGATTACACACGTGAGCCACCACGCTTGGCCCCATAAGGTTTTAAAACACCCTCTAGGTCATTTGTAACTCAGGATTCCCTAATTCCCATGACATGGAGGATGCTTGGAGACAAAAGAGTCTCCACAGGTTCTGCCAGACTCTGTTTTAATATATATATAATCGAAATAAGAATTTAATGTATTTGGCTCTTGGTGGGAGTAGGGTGGAATAGGTTCTGGTAACTGCACCATAAACATTCATTTTCTGTAAGTTCTTTTCTTCTCTGCTTCTCTGCTTTTAAAGTCATTTGTTTAGGGGCCCAATAAACTTCTAAGACTGCATATTTATCTTTTATAAAGAGAATTGAAAGCAGATAGTGGACAGGTCGAATGATTTTCTAAAATAAAGTCACTCTGCACCACTTTCACCCATGATCAAGGACATTAAGCATTTAGTCATTTCTATGCCACACCTTTGCCTTTGTAGGGTGTTTTAAAAGTTGTTAGCTTCACTTGAGCCATCCATGGCTAATGAATAAAACTAATGAATTACTAATGAATCAAAACACACAAAAAAGAATTCTGCTGTGATGTGTGAAGGTCCTTTATGTTTTCTAAAAAAGATTAAATGTATATGACTAGTGCTAATTCAGAGGAATATAATTTTATTATGATTAATTAAGAATAACACTTACTAATAATGCTTAGGTATTTTTGACCAGGATATTTTGCTAGTGTTCCTGAAATTTTATTTTAGGGCCAAGCATCTGCTCAACAGTCTAATAATTTGACTTCTTGGATTAAATGTTTAATCAACTTTTTTTTTTTCTGATGGAATTTATTTTAGTGTAGTATCTCCTTTTCCTCACATCTCGTTCACAAATAATTCCTCACATCTCGTTCAGAAATAATTCCTTTTAGTTTTGTCTCAAAAATAAGTGTCATGTCTGCTCACTTCTCCCCATCTCCACTGCCAACATCCTAGTTCAAGCCATCATCTTTTCCCCTGGACCATGTGATGCTGTTCTAACTGGCTTCCTGTTTCCACTCTTGCTCGTCTGCCACTTGTTTTCCAGGCCACAGCCAGAGTGACTCCTTAAAAGCAGAAAATCAGACCAGTTTCTTTCCTTGTACATAGATTCAATTAGTTTCCCAATGCTCTTGGAATAAAATCAAACTTTCAAACTGTGATCTTTGATTTGACCCTTCTTAACATTTCCAACATCATCTCATGATTCTCTTACTCAAACTTTCTCATACACACCAACGCATACTCTGTTGTTCAAAGGGGGCGCAAATATGCTCCACTAACACAAGCACTGCAAATATAAAATAAGGATTCACTGGAGTAAACACTAGCAAGCAGAGGGTAACAGAGTGTACATCATTCCCTGGGCTCTCTTGGTCCCACCGAGGGGTGTGCCTATTTGAACTACACACACACTAGCCAACATTTCCGTACCAAGGGATTCTATCTCTGTGATAGTCATACCAGGGTTGGCAAACATTTTCTTAAATAGTTTAGTCTTGTGGGCTGTATAGCTTCTGTCAAAACTGCTCAGCTCTGCTGTTATACTGCAAATGCAACCATAGATAGTACGTAAGTGAATGTATGTGCCTATGTTGCAATAAAACTATTATGTCCACTGAAATGTGAATTTCGTATAATTTTCATGTGTCACAAAATCTTACCTTCCATCAATTTTAAAACTTATATTAAAAATGTAAAATCAATTGTTAACTTGCTGGCCCTACAAAAAGAGGCAGCAGGCCAGATTTGGCACACTGGCTATAGTTGGCTAACTCCTACTGTACACATTTATAGGGAAAACAGAGCAAGGAACATCCATTTGACTGTGGAACAATGGAAGCTCCTTGGTGAGGCAAATGCCTTTGTTAGAAACAGAGGGGAGACTGTAATCCCAGTGTTTTGGGAGGCTGAGGTGGGCGGATCACTTGAGCTCAGCAGTTCAAGACCAGTCTGACCAACATGGTTAAACCTCTGTCTCTACTAAAAAGACACAAATCAGCCAGGTTTGGTGGCACACACCTGTAATCCCAGTTACTCGGGAGGCTGAGGGACAAGAATCGCTTGAACCCAGGAAACAGAGGCAGCAGTGAAATGAGATTGCACCACTGCACTCTAGCCTTGTCAATGAAGGGAGAGTCTGCCTCAAAAAGAAACTCCAAAACAAAAAAACAGAACAACAAGAAACAAAACAAAAAATAGAGGGGACTTCTAAAGGTCAACAGCTGGAATCGGTCTGTTCTGCTGAGCTAACTCAGACCTCTGGGCCAACTTTCAGCTAAATTATGTTTCCAAAGCCACTGGAATTTGCCTCTCTGACTTGTCTCCTTTCTATACACAGGTATGCACACACTTAACATGTACACCCTTCCTCCTCAATACTTCAGCAATATAATACTGGCCTTCTTTCAGTTTCTACAAACAGCCAGGTACTTTCAGGACTCAGGTTTTTTGCTCTTGTCCTTCAAGTTCACTCTTTATTGCCAGTGCTCCGCACAGTCTGTGGAAGATAGTAGGTATTTCTCAAATATTTGTTATAAATAATTGTCTATATATAGAGAATATAGATAGATGACACATCGATAGATATTTACCAATTACTTCACTGAACTGCAAAATGAAGGAGAGATGAAATTTGAGGAAATGAAATATATAAGAAAGGCTTCAGATTACCCTGGGCTACTAGAGTGTTGTCCTAGACTTGAGAGGAATTCCATTCAAAGGAAGCCATGGGAAATTGAATGTTCTGGGCGACAGAACATGTCCCATCCCAGAGAGTTTCCTTCTGACTGCTAAAGATAATTACGGTCCCACAGCTTTGGATGTAGAATTAGGACAGAGCTAGAGGGAAATTCTAACTTCAATATTGCAACAAAGTTGCGGAAGAGTTCTAGTGGTCTTTTAACCTCTATATACTTCACTTTCTTTATATGAAATGGGAGTTGGAGTATATGATTTTGA